GACCGATCGATTGATCGTTAATATTCATCAATTACATTTAATTAATAGACGACAAACCTATAAAGTTTAGTTGAATAACTGAAATAGTCAAAATATTATTTCCAATATTAGTAGACCTAGATAGTTGGTCAACTTTTTATTACTAATTTTATTATTTAAAATTGGATTGACCAAAAAAATAATAATTATTATTATTTGATTTTAAAATATAAAATTTACTCTCTTTTTTTTTGAATTTATGTGTTGTAAAATTTTCAACGAAAATAAAAACTACATATTTGATGTTGTTGGAAATCTAAATCAATTGTAAGTCTACTACAAGAATGACTAGAGTATAAGATTATTTATGATTTTAACATGGAAAATTAGGTGGAATAGCAAAAAAAAACTATAATCAAAATTCTAACCAATTAACCTAAATTCAATGGACAAGATTATACCACATATGCTATTTTTGGTTAGTTTCCTAATTTTTTGTTAGTTAGCATATTAACATATACTAATTGGCAAATTACTACAACAAAATAACTAATTGTACAAGAGTATTCTACCAAATATTTGATTGAAAAATGAAATATTATATCATCCAAATCAATCATTTAAAAGAAATCATAGTTGAATTTACTATCGGAGAATTTCCATTTGCATTGTTTACTGAATTTTTTTTTCTGTTAAGTGTTCATATTTTTCAATGTAATTGAATTATTAGTTAAGAAAATAAAAATTAAATCTATCAAATTAGGAGATAAATATCTTATATTGTTAATATTTAAATGCATACACAGTATATGTGGATAGTATTAGCAGCTGCTGGTTAAAAAAAAAAAACCTTTTTACAGTTTTTGGTTTTAAAAGTTTCTATATTTAAAAGTCTCTTTCCTTTTTCTTATAAAGTAACTAATCCCAACGAGGATAGTTAACCTTTTGCATGCCTCTCCAAAGGTAACTGAAACTTATTGACTGTTGTTTACTAAATTACTATCTGGCCCTACCATTTAGTTTTTCTTTGTTAAAGGTGTTTTTATTACACAAATTATTTAAAACAGTGACAGTCACTATTTTTTTTTTGCTACACACGTGACAGTCTGTAATTTCCTTGGTTTTATTATGCATTCATGGAATAAACATGCATGTACACGTCGGATATATTTATCCTCATGTACACATTGCAATTCAGTTACAAAAATGTCAAAATTACCTTTCAACTCTTAATTTGCTTATATCTTAAGAAATGATTTTAAAAGTAGGGGCAATTACAAAAATGTTTATGCACATTTGCAAGAATGCCATTTAGAGATGTCTATTTACAAAAATGCCACTAATTATAGATTTATAAAGCCTATATCTTAAAATTCTAAAGTCTAAACAATGTTTTGACACCTAAAACCCCCTAAACACTCAAAACTAAACTCTAATATAACATAGTTAACCCAAACATAAATTATATAATGAAAAAATAATTTTGAAAAAGTTGCATTTTGTAAAGATTTCAAAAGTGTGGTATTTTTGTAAAATGGCATTTAAAAAGTGGTATTTTTAAAAATTTCTCTAAAAAGTGGTCTTTTAAAAAATTAATGTTTTCCTTATATAAATGTGTATACAACTTAGTACAATGTGGAATTATTAACAAAAAAATGAATGTTTTCCAAGACCATGCATCCTCGAAATAAGTGTTGCGCCATTTCAAATCCTAGTTCAAATTAATCATGAAAATTTGTCAATATGTTAGATAATTTGACTATTTAAACCGTTTATAATAGCCGTTACTAAAAAAATTATAATTAAAACTCAAATTTGCCTATATTTTCACAATAATTTATTACCCATACGCAGCGTAGAATGTGAAACTGTAGTCTTGTTTTCTAGGAAAAACTGTTTATTTCCCCACCATAACTTTGATATATGCGTCTATGTCTCCCAAATGTTACTTTCTGTATAAATCTCCACGAACTAAAAATTAAACGTGTATGTCTCCACGAATTGAAAATTAAATGTGTATATCACCACCAATTCTGATTTCTGGTTTAATGTTTGGTTTACTGTTTCAGAACCATTATTTAACCATTAAAAACTATTTTAACCGGATTAATACGAAATTATAATCTGATTTAGATCCGACTAACAAAACCAAAAAAATAATTGGGTTCACACAAAAAAATAATCTTTTGACAAAATCTTCCTCCCAAATTTTGTTTGACAAAATCGATTTCATCTACAACTCTAATTTCACAACCAGCAACACACTTCTCGTCGACGGTGCCACCGTTACATCTCCGCCGGCGATCCTCACCCTTACTAACCAAACCACTTTCTCCATCGGTCGTAGTCTCTAGCCTTCAAGAATCCCAACCGCTTCCTCCTCGCCGCTCCCATTCGCAACTTCATTCATCTTCTCCATGTCTCCTTACAGAAACATCCTCCATGGTCACGGTTTCGCCTTCGTCTTCCTCCTTTCACTGGCAACATCCACCGCTGATTCAGCTCAGCATCTTGGCATCTTCAATTTCACCAATAACGGCGACCCAAATAACCCAATCTTCGGTGTTGAATTCGACGTCTTCGCTAACCAAGAATTCAACGACATCAACGACAACCATGTCGGCGTCGACGTCAATTCCCTCACTTCGGTCTCATCTGCGGTCGCCGAATTCTATGACGGCCAGAGATTCACGGAGCTGAGGCTTAACAGTGGCGATAACTATCAGGCCTGGATTGAGTTTAATGGGTCAGCGATCAATGTCACGATTGCTAGAGCTAGCTCTATGAAACCCGTAAGACCACTCATAAGCATTCCTTTGAATATCTCTCGAGTTTTACTTGGTGATATGTTCGTCGGATTCACCGGAACTACAGGACAACTTGTGCAGAGCCATAGGATTCTCTCCTGGAGCTTTAGCAACTCTAATTTCTCCATTGGTGATGCTTTAGTTACTAGGAATCTTTCTTCTTTTAAATTGCAAGATTACTCTGTTTTTAAGTCTAAAGGCTTCATTACTGGGGTCTTTGTTGCTGCAGTTGTGATTTTAGTATGTGTTACTGGAATTCAAAGGTGTATAGAGGAGAGTTGGAAGGCAAACAAGTGGCGGTTAAGAGAATCATGGTAAGCCCTCGTGAGAGCGTGGCTGGGACGAGTGAGTTCTTAGCTGAGGTTGGTGCAAGAAAGGAGGAGAGAGCCTGATATTGGTCGCTGAAGACGAAGATCCAGAGACATTGTTCATCCTTTCAATTGATTTTTGGAGTGGATTTGTCGCAAGATCGTATTTTGAGAGTTAGGGTTCTAAGATTTTTTGATTTGGGGATTTTAACAGTTGAGTTGGTCGGGTTAAGGGTGCGGGTTCTTAAAATGGATCGGGTTTTAATTTCAATCGGGTTTCTGATTTGGTTAACTAACGGTTTTATGGGTTTTGTGTCTGGTTAACGACGAAACCGATCGAAATCGGAGCTGGTGGTGATATACACATTTAACTTCCAATTCGTGGAGATATACATATTTAACTTTTATTTTGTGGAGATTTATACAGAGGGTAACATTTGGGAGATATATACGCATATATCAAATTTATGATGGAGAAATAGACAGTTTTTCCCGTTTTCTACAACATTTCTTCACCAATTAAGTTTTCAGGATTGTGCACAAAGCCGTGTCTACCATGTAATTAAAAAGGCATTTGTTTCGGGCCGCGGATAATATATATAGTTTTAGGAGCCCAGTATTTCAAAAATTAAATTTAGTATAGTGGTAAAAATATGGTAATATAAATTTTTAAGATTCTCATCCCAAGTTCAAAACCACTTATATGCAAAAATAAGAGTACTTTTTATCTAATTAATTTTTTATATACATTCTAACAATTATTTGAAGTTAAATTATAGTTATTGTTTAAAAAATCATCAATAAAAATCATTTTATTTTTAAGTTCGCATCGGACCCTATAAGTCTGGTCACGGCACTGATTGTGCATTAGGTCGCATACAAAACTCACACCCACTTCTAGTTTAAAAGACTCTTGCTCAACAAACTTAACACCCTTCAATCTAAGAAATAAATGGGCTTT